GGTCCCGTATGAAGAGAGTTGAAGAAGACTTAGAATTTTCAGCTCAGAAGAGGGCTATAAAATCTTGACGGGGTAAAAAAATGAATAAGGAAAAGTTATTTACGTGTTCCCATAACATAAGAACTCAGGGTCACCAAATGAAATTAATAGGGAGAAGGTTTAGAACAAAGAAAAGGAAGTTTTTCTTCACTCAGCGCACAGTCAACCTGTGGAACTCCTTGCCAGAGGATGTTGTAAAGACCAGGACTTTAACAGGGTTCAAAAAAGAGCTAGATAGATCCATGGAGGTTAGGTCCATCAATCGCTATTAGCTAGGATGGATAGGAATGGTGTCCCTGGCCTCAGTGGGTGACAGGGGAGGGATCACATGAGGATTCCCGGTTGTGTCTCTTCCTGCTGGGGCACTTGGTATTGGCCACTGTGGGCAGACAGGACACTGGGCCAATGGACCTTTGGTCTGACCCAATCTGGCCGCTCTTACTTTCTTATGTTCTTGGAGCAGCATTCCCAGCTGAGGAAAGGAATCCCTCCTGCCCACAGAGCCAGGCATTCCCCTCCGGATTGTGTCAGTCTCTGCCTTGAGTGGGAGGCTGGATGACAGCCCCACCTGTGCCCACAGCTCCTTCCCTCTCCTGTGCAGAGCCCCCAGGCCCAAGTCCAGCTCTAGCCTGGAGAGAGGCCAAACGATTCCCCTCTGGAGCATCCCTGGGGCGTTGCTTTTGAACCCCACCCGGAGTTCATTCAGCAATCTCCTTCCCTCCCCTTTGGGCTTCAGCCCGGCTCTGCATGGACCAGGGTCCTTCCAGGGCCGCTGCCATCGCAGGGCACGTGGGGTGGTTCCCCTCAGCGGTTGAGGGGAGGCGGGAGCAGCCTGGCAGGGCGGTTTGCTGCTGGGTGAGATCTCCCCACCCTGGAAACTGGAGTCGGCTATTTAGCGCCAGAAGAAGCTGGGGCCATGTTTGCAGCTGGCTGGGAGCAGTTTCAGAGCAGGGGGGGATTTCTCCTCTTTACTCGGTCGCCTCTCGGAGAAGCCTGCCCAATGGTGGAGCTGGGAGAAGCCGTCTGTGGGGCAGGTCGCTGGCTGCCGGGAACTGCAGAGACCCAGCAGCTCACAAGACATGCTGGAGGGCAAAGTGACCACAATGGGGCATCGCTGGCCGGTCCATGGCTAGGCAGTGACTGAGAATCCTGGCGGTGAAATAGATCCCAGGCTGGGAAGCCCAGCACGGTGAGTGTGTTATTCCAAATAAATGTACTTAGGGTGGCTAGCTGGGGGCCATTTCATACTAGACTCTAGTTACAAAGGGAACGCTGCAGGACTGGTCACAGCACTCACTCCACCGTTTAGAGCTTCGCAAGGGGGGAGGGGTATTTTTCTTCCCCCAGAAGAGAACAAGGGGCCTTGTCACAGGACTTGTGTGAAACCCAAACTTTTTTATTTGGGAACATCTCCCTGTTATCCTGGGAGAAACCAGTCCAAAGATACCAGCTAATATTAGTTCAGTGAGAACCGGCCCAGGGCAGATAAATTGTGGAATCCTGAAAAATGAACTGAGGTAAAAAATGTTTTGAATTTTCCAAGACACATCGTGTGATTTAAAACAACGAGTAGTCCTGGTGCACCTTAGAGACTAAGACTGACAGACAGACAGACAGACAGACAGATAGATAGATAAAGTGTGAAGACTTTTTATAAGTTCATTAGAAGGAAGAGGAAGACCAAGGGCATGGTCGGCCCACTGTTCAGTGAGGAGGGAGAAACAGTAAGAGGAAACTTGGAAATGGCAGAGATGCTTAGTGACTTCTTCGTTTCGGTCTTCACCGAGAAGTCTGAAGGATGCCTAACATAGTGAGTGCTAGTGGGAAGGGGGTAGGTTTAGAAGATAAAATAAAAAAAGAACAAGGTAAAAATCACTTAGAAAAGTGAGATGCCTGCAAGTCACCAGGGCCTGATGAAATGCCTCCTAGAATACTCAAGGAGCTGATAGAGGAGGTATCTGAGCTTCTAGCTATCATCTTTCGAAAATCATGGGAGACAGGAGAGATTCCAGAGGACTGGAAAAGGGCAAATCTAGTGCCCATCTATAAAAAGGGAAATAAGAACAACCCAGGGAACTACCGACCAGTTAGTTTAACTTCTGTGCCAGGGAAGATAATGGAGCAAGTAATAAAGGAAATCATCTACAAACACTTAGAATGTGGCAAGGTGATAGGGAACAGCCAGCATGGATTTGTAAAGAACAAATCATGTCAAACCAATCTGATAGCTTTCTTTAATAGGATAAGGAGTCTCGTGGATGAGGGGGAAGCGGTGGATGTGGTATACCTAGACGTCAGTGAGGCATTTGATACGGTCTGGCATGATAATCCAAAGATGGGGATTCCACAACCTCCCTGGGCAATTTATTCCAGATGAGCTCTGCCCGATGGTCCTTTCCCCCGTCTCTCCTCCACTCCCCTCCTGCGGCTGGGCTTGCGCCCATCCCTTCCACCAACACAGGGCCAAAAAGGCCACTACCGGCCACATTCTGGTGACAACCCTGACAGGCATCTGGGACAGGGGCCTGTGACCCTGCACCTGCCCCACACACTCTCCCACATGTTGCCCCAAGAAGATGCTGTGCCAGATACCAGGAAAAGTGGGTGCGTTCTGGGAGCCCAGCCGGGCGTGGAGGGCAGAGAGGGGCAGGCAGGAAGGGCTGGGTCAGTCACTCATCCCCCAAGGGAAAGACGCATTTGGGAGTGTGGGGGGTTGTGTTTGATTTAGATTTAGATGGGATTGGTCCTGCCTAGAGCGGGGGGCTGGACTTGACGACCTTCTGAGGTCTCTTCCAGTTCTATGATTCTATGATAAGGGGATGGTTTGATGAAATAACATGATCTTGGTAACTAATTGACCATTCATTATCAGTTGGAAATAGGTCAATGGAGGGATGATAGGAGTTGCTATAGGGAACTTTCTGGGTGTCTGGCTGGTGAGTCTTGCCCACATGCTCAGGGTTTAGCTGATCGCCATATTTGGGGTCGGGAAGGAATTTTCCTCCAGGGTAGATTGGCAGAGGCCCTGGAGGTTTTTCGCCTTCCTTTGTAGCATGGGGCACAGATCACAGCTGGAGGATTCTCTGCATCTTGAGGTCTTCAAAGTATTTGAAGGCTTCAATATCTGAGACATAGGTGAGAGGATTATTCTAGAGGGGTGGGTGAGATTCTGTGGCCTGCACTGTGCAGGGGGTCAGACTAGATGATCATAATGGTCCCTTCAGACCTTAAAGTCTATGAGTCTATGAGTCTATGAGAACCTCTTGTGATGGGTTCACTCACAGCACTCCCCTAGAGACTTTCACTTGATGTCCTGCTGGGCCAGAA